GAGCTGTACATGTCTGTTAAGTGCATGCCTAATTGTAAAATCCCTGCCTCATATGCCTTAAAGACATTTGCAACTATGAAGATGCCAAGAAAAGGCTTTCCATAGTACTTCAGAAATGTACACTCTCATTAGCAAGACTTCCTTGGTCCTACCCTTGATATTATGTGATTTTCACGTTAGTCAGCCTGGGGCTGTGAGTGTTTACAAACATATCTCATTGTGATTTTCAGTATTCCTTGTGTTTAGTTAGGTTTCTATTGCTGTGGTCAAATGCCATGACCAAAAGTGAGCTGGAGAAGAAAGTATTTCCATCAGTTTTCAATTCCTGACCACAGTCCATGACTGAGAGAAGTCAGGACAGGATTTCAAGGCAAGAAGTTGAAACAGGGAACCATGGAGTAGTTCTGGTTTCTGGATTGCTTCCCATGACTACCTGCTCAGCGTGGACTACCTGCCTCGGAGTGGCCCTGCCACAGTGAATTGAGTCCTCCTAGGTCAATCATTAACTAAACACGTGCTTCGAAGATTGATCTGTTAGGACATTTTCCCAACTGAGGTTTCCTTTTATCAAACGACATTAGTGTGTATTAAGTTGACACAAACTAAGTGTCCAGAAGGACACCTTCTCAGGTTCATAATAGTATTTACTTTATCTTGTTTAGATTGTCTTTCTTTTACTGCTATTGCATTGCACTAATTTTTAATGGAGGTGTGTGACGTTTGGGGTTGGTCTCTAGCTGTTCTTCCCGTGTTCCAGCCATGGTCCTCTGCGGGATGTGCATGTTACGGAGAGCTCCAATGCCACCATGTCCCACTTTCCACTTGGTTAATAATATCATTTGATAAACAGAGGTTTGTACTTATAATATGGTCTAATGTATCAGTTCTTTATGTATTTAAAGTTTTTAATCTCTGTTAAGAACCTTTCATTGCATTGTCTTTCTAGAAGTTTCATAACTTCATATTTCACATTTAAATTTATGAGCTATCTAACAATGTATACAGAAAATAACAAGCCTTCCATAAGAGGGTTTATAATAAGAATTTAAATGAGATTTTACAGTCAATGTAATATACCATATTACTACATAGTTTGGACAAATTATATGATTATATTAATAGATGCATAAAAACATGATAGCGTCCAATATTCATTATAATAACACCATACATTTTTAAATACATATACACATTTTGAAATCTAAGAATAGAACTTAAACTGATATTTATGGATGAACTTCACAAAATTTAGGATGCATTTTTTTTTAAAGTTGTTGGAGGGAGGATAATGTGATTTTCAAAACTAACCTATAGGCATACATAGAGCAAGCACTAATGTCTCTGATAAAATGACAGGACCTTCCCTTGAGGAGGGGAGCACAGGACAAAGGTTGTTCTATTCTCCACCTTTCCCACAGTGTCCTGGAGGTCCCTTCAGGCCAGTAAATCACAAAGAAGGCTAATTGGAGAGAGAGGTATAAAACTGCCACTGTTCTTCTTAATCTCTAAGAAATTTAAGAGGTTCCATAACTTAGTAAACTTGATATATAACGTTAACAAGGTCATAGGACATCCTTTCTGTACATAGAAAAGGTATCAGAAACTAAAGAAAATGAAGCTGTAAAGACACTACTCACAATCAATTAGGGAACACTGACTATCAAAAAATAAATGAAAGGACTGAGGAGATGACTCCACCAGTAAAGGACTGGCCGTGCGAACATAAGGTCCTGAGTTCAGATCCTCAATTCTCATCAAAAACTGGCTATAGCAGGCAGGCGTGCTTATAACAAACACTAACACTACGGAGGCAGATATAAAAGTATTCCTGGGTCTTGCTGGCCACTTGACTAACTACATCTGCAAGCTCACATTCAGTGAGAGATCCCATCTCAACAAACGATGCAGATGTTGACCAGCGCCCACATGAACGCGTCTATGTACACATTCACTTCACACCCCCAACACAGACCTGTGCATGAGTGCACACACACAAATTAAATGACTTAGACACAAGATGGGTAATGCCTCTCAGTTAAGAAGCACAAGAAGCTAAGGATAGGGAAACATATATCACAGCTATTGGAAAGTATGATCCAAAGTGATTTATAGATCGAGCTCAAATACACCTTAAAGACCTGCAGGTTTTTGCAATCATAAAGCTTGCTTCACATGAAAGAGAAAAGACTGAGGAGAATCTAGAGCAGTCTCAAAGGGTGAGAACCAGCTGAACGGCAGAACTTTTACTAGAACTGAGAGCTGTAACATTAGCTAACTTGTTATTGGACCAAACAGAGTCAGACAGACCACTGAACATGATAATCATCATCATCATCAGAAAATTGACTTATGGTAGATTTACGATGGCACCAACAGTAAAAGATGTGTGTTGTGGTGTCTTAAAAGATGATGAATCTATGTATCTGGAATGAACTGCAAAAAAAAAAAAAAAAAAAGATGATGATTCTCGATCTAGTGAGTAGTTACGCACACAGAAAAAAAAAAAAGATGACTCTTGAGACTTATATGCTTGCTGCACACATACCAAAACAGTTTGTTTAATTACTCAAAATAAATACCTATTCTAAATAATTAGCATGCTTTTCTCAGTTAGGGAATTATATTTTATTAGTGAGATTGGCTTTGGTTGTCTGTCTAGAGGCTCACCTTCACCATGTCTGATGACAGTAATTTTCTTCAATCTAAGGTTTCTGGCCTTGGTTTCTTTTTCCTTGTGTTTGGTGGTAATTGTTCTTTCAGCCTTGCCTTAACGATTCTATTTTGTGGTTCTCTCCTTTGTGTGTGAGATATTTTGGATCATTCTTTGAAATAGGCAGAGTATAAGCAATGAATAAATCAATCAATGAGGCAAGTTAAACTTCACTTGAGTATTTGAAGCTTGGCTGAATTGTCAAAAAGAATTATAGCTCTTAGAGAAATCCCAGTAATTATACTTTGATAAAATTACAACTGTCCAACATCTTCTTGCTAATACATATTGCAGGTATAAATATTATATAAGATGTTCTTTAAAAGTTAACGTATGTGTCAGTATTAAAAGTAAAAGTATTCACCCAGAGAAGGATCTACTTTTCATAAATTTCTTGTAATATATATTCAGACAATAGGTAATTTCTTCTTTAAGAAAAATAGTCTGGCAATTGAACAATCTTGCTCATATGGAAGGAATGTGTGGAAAATTATTGACTTTAAAGGCGGGGGCGTTCAAGGCAGGAAACAAGTGCCCACCCTGTTAGTGGTTCTGGGTATTGGCTTTGGAGCTGTTAGATCTATCTACATCGGACTCCCAGTTCTGACAGTAATGACTATGTCATCTTAGACTAGTTTTCTATGTCTTTCTTACAACTCGATCACTTTGGCCTGGAGAGATGGCTCAGTGGTAAAGAGCACTTGCTGCTCTTCCAGAGGACCTGGGTTCGGTTCCCAGCACCCACACGGTGGCACACAGTCAGCCATAACTCTAGTTCCGGAGATCGAATGCCCTCTTTTAGCTTTTCAGGCACCAGGCACACACATGGTGCACAAAATTCATGCAAAACAATACACCCCACATATAAAATAAAAAGTAATTAAAAGATCGCAATTCATATCATAATACCCAGCTCACAGAGACTGGTCTGCAGATACAGATAGATACATAAATGATACATACTTTTCTGCAGAGCAGTTTCTCTGAAATTCGGTACCGTTCTTGTGATTATTTTTGACATTTGGCATTTGGACACCTATATGAAGCAGGTCGATTGAGTATGCAATGGCTTGGCTGGAGAGCAGGCGAAGAGCCCCGGTGATATGGGGCAAATGAGCAATTCAGAACACTGTGTGCACACCATCATTGGTGATGGGAACCTGGGGAGTTATAACCTCTGCAGTTGTGGAGGCGGTTTCTCTGCTGCAATGCACTCCAGCGCTTGCAGGCTCTCGTTGTTCCTGTTGCACCTAACTCGCATGCCAGTAACACGCAGCACATGCTACTATAACACCACAGTAGTTCAGTTACCTTCTCAAAATGGCATCTGATGGAGAGGACGAGCTTAGGCCTTGGGTCTTATATTTTACCAGGTGAGTACATTTTCCTCAACAGATCCCAGAAAAAGTTTTGCTATGTGGACTGAGAATACTCAGAGGAAACCTTTGATCCAAACTGTAAATTTGGTAAAAAAGAATCTGAACCAGATGTCTGCACTGGTGTGGGAAATCTGCATGGATTCCCAGGCATGGATGTTAGCACCTTTAGGTCCCATCATCTTGAGAAAAAGTATACCTTGTCAGCAAATACCTTTTCTTTTTATGTCTGCATCTATTACATTTGATTTTACTTAGCTGTTTCCTTATCGCTAGTGATCAGACACACAGTATCACAATATAAATAAGGGGCATTGTCAGGATTTTAACCTCTAGGCAACCCAATCACTCCTGGAAAGCTTCTGTAGTACTGAGAGTTTTGCTATAGGATAGGGAGAGAAAGGTGTCTATATTTTATTCAGATAGCATCCCAAGCTCCTAAGAATTCTGTGCCTCTTCTTTTAGAATGATATAGATTGCTTGGGGGATGGGTTAGAGAACAGTAGTCACCTATGGAGTCAGAATGCGTAAAGGCTACAGTCCAGCTTAAAACTTCAGTTCTGATGGGAAGACCGAGAAGACGATATAACAAACACATCAACGTGTCTAGTCTCTTTGTTTGTAAGAAGGGTGGAGACATGAGAATAACCGAATTAACAATGCTAGCGAAAGGTACTCCTTAACAGGACACAAACACAGAAGGGAAGCCTGCTAAGGGACCCGCTAGGCTGTAGCGCGACTCATCTTGGCGTTACTTTGCTCCATAGCTTATGCACAGGAAGATCTGCTGCTTGTGCATGTGATCTGTTCTCACACTATAAAACAGTAGAGGGAGAAGCCTTCCTCAGCACTGTAAGCACGTCGAAGGCTCCGACTAAAACTTCCCGAAGGTGACCATAGTTTGTCATTTTTACCTTATGGACCGTTGATTGTTATCAGAATCCCAGATGCATAGCTTTCCGGATCATCTCTTAATTTATCAGGGCTTCAGAGCCGTAGGCTGATGCGCTGAGACTCACTCGCGTGATTACACTGCCACCGTGTGGTTTAAGGAGCTCTCCTAATTAAAACATGGCCTGCTAAGTAAAGCAAAAGGACAATTAAAAGGAAATCTAGCTATTTTCAATGATTTTGGTGTTCCTTTATCTTCGCCTACCCTTTAGATAGTTGTACGGGGTAATGAAGGTGCACAGTAAGGGAGGGGCAATGCGACGGGTGAGGTGGAGACAGTTGGTTCTGCACAATTCTGCACAAATTCATCTTCTACCCAGGGAGTACCTGGCACCTTTGCTAGTAAGAGCACATGGGCCACCTGGCCAGCATAGTCTAGCTGCTGCCCAGAAGAATCGCAGAATTTCACTATAAATAGCCACAGATAGGTGTTCCTTAGGCTGACACTCCCAAATCAGAAGCAGCCACAGTGTCATCCCCAGAATTCACTAGACCAGTGGTTCTCAGCCTTCCTAACACTGTGACCCTTTAGTACCGTTCCTCGTGTTGTGCTGACCCTAGGCCTAAAATTGCTTTGGCGTTACTTCAAAACTGTGATTTTTGCCATTGTTATGAATCATAATGTAAATATCTGTGTTAAATGATTAGGTGACCCCATGTGAAAGGGTCATTTGACTCCTAAAATGTTCCCTACCCACAGGTTGAGAACATTAGAGGCTTGAACGTTCTTGCTCTACCTCCAGTATTGAATGAAAAACTTTGAAGAAAAAGACCAGAAATCCGGATTTCCAAAGTTTTTGGGGATGGGATAATATCTCAGTAGGTGAAATGCTTGCCTTGCAAGCGTGAGGCTCTGAGTTCAATCCCCATGGCCGAAATGAAAGGGCCAGGAATGCTGGTGCATGCTGGTTACCCCAGTGCTGGAGGATGGAGATGGGCAGGGTTCTCGGAGCTTGCAGCCCAGCAAGGCTAGCCTCCTCGGTGACTTCCAGTCAGTGAGAGACCCTGCCTCGGAAAACAAGGTCACAGTGTCTGTGGACTAAAGTTGTCTTCTGGCCCCCACCCACGTGGGCACACATACACCTGCACCTACAGGCATTCACACACACACACACACACACACACACACTTTCCCGAGATTTTAGTTTTCCAATCTATAAAAAAATCACTTCTTCTGGAGTATATTAATATAGCTTTTATTTTAGGCAGTATTAAATTGAACTGCTTGCTCCAGAGTGCTTAAAGGAAGCCACACGGATATAGACGGCAGGAGTCACTGTGCTTTCTGTCCTGTTGGCCACCCATTGCCATGAAGGTCTGCCTGAGGAGGAGGCAGAACACGTGCACACGTGTCTCTTGCAATCATTGACTAAGGTCTTTCCCTCTCTAATGCCACCGGGATTTGCAGTGGCCCAACCTGGAGTAAATCTTTTAACCTCTCGGGACTAGTGGACCACAAGTCAATTGTGAGTGGGTGTTTTATAATCAGGCCGTTGCTTAGACACTGAAATCACAGTTTAATGAAGGGGACCTAAGTGTAAAAGACCTGGAGGATCTGAGAATGTTAGGGAAAAACAAAACAAAACAAAACAAAACAACGGGATGGTATGAATGTGCAGACTTGCTAACCCGCGTCCTAACTAACTCAACGGTGACATGCAGCAAAAGTGCCCATGTCAGCAGAACTTCTGACCTCTCCAAAACAAAGAGCCAGACCTAGGGGTTTAAAGTGGAACCTTCTGTTTATTGTGTGGGTTTGGTTTTTAAGGATATGTTGAATTAAAGGAATGCAGAGTCATTGTCTGTTAAGTCTGCTCACTGAATTCGGTCTGTCCTTTTTCAGATGGACATTTAGTAACAGTCACCGGTAACACCGCAACACCCATTATTGGTGCAGGGCTTCTGTTGAAGCGATTTGTCTTAACATATTTTCATGTCTCTCTCCAAATATATGCTTGCAAAGCGTGGAAACTCGGCACCACATCACAGAGGGAAATTGTTATCCTTAGCAATGCTTGCTTTAAATGCAGCTGGAGTGAAGAATTCAAAAGCACATCCCCAAAGCATCACACTGGAGCAAGAAAACGCTCCGTCTTTCTAATGTGGTGCCTTAGCTACTTTTCTGTGATAAAATGAACATCAGGAAGGAAAGCTGTGTTCTGATCACAGTTTGAGGATGCAGTCCATCGCGGTGGGGAAGGCATGGGGGGAGGGCAGGACGTAAAGCAGCTGGCCACATTGCATCTGCAGGCAGGAAGCAGAGGAGGATGAAGGCAATTGTTCAGATCCATTTCTCCTTTTTATTTCCACCAGGGACCTCAGATCATGGGATGCTAGAAGCAGCTAAGGGAGGGTGGGTCTCCTGCCTCACAGACATGTCCAGCGATTTGTCACCTAGATGACTGTAATGCGTGACAATTTGACCTCAGTATTAACCACTGCAGATGAAACACACATTCATGCTTTAAAATCTTACAAATACAACATACTCAGCACAAAGGTACTAAGGCTATATACAAACTAATCATTATGTTGCCTATTCTTAGTGACATATAAAATAATAAATATAAAACAGGAAATTCTAAGAATAAAAGTACTAGACCCAGGCATAAATTTAAGGTACTTATTTTAAGCAAAACATCATTAATTATTTTTTCTTCCTAACTTTGATAGAAACAGTTGGTAAATAGCTGGTATATTGATAGAGTATCCCTGGCGTGATTTTCTTTGCTAAGCCTATTTTCCATGACTGGCCCTCACTATTCTGGCTGCATTCAGGATTCAAAGGGGCTGTCTCACCGTATTCCCACATGTAGGTTAGCTGGGAGGACTTTAGGAACAAATCCACTGTAGATCCATTCTTAGTTTTCCCTGTGACTTCTTTTATTTTTCTTGTACATTTTCAGGGAGATGTTCTGCCACTGAGCTACACTCAAATCTCTTATACATTTGTAGAGATTTCTGTCATCTTACAAAGTAAGAGGTTTTTTTTTAATGACATTTCTACACACCCTGGTTTTGTATTTTGCCCGGCCCTGACCCGTTTCCGCTCCCTGTGCCTGCTCACACCAGTCCACACACAGTCTCCTCTTTTGTTACAGTTCCCACACTCCTCTCTTGGGTCTTCTTCCATCTCCACTGTATATATATCATTTCCACTTAAATACAAACATATAAAATAGAAGCTGAGGAGTGAGAACATGCTGTGTCTATCTTTCTCTAGCGTTCCTGAGCATTTTCCCAGAGGACCCTATAACCCTCCGCAGAGATACTTGCTCATCCATGTTCTTTGCTGTTCTATTTGTAAGAGCTAATAAATGGAGTCAGTACAAATGTCCATTAACTGATAGATGCAAAAGGGAAATGTCGTACACATATGCCATGCAATTTATTTAGGTCATAATGAAAAAAAATGAAATTATGAGGAAAATTAATGGAGCGGGACTATTCTATGACATAAGGCAGGGTCCTTATGGCTCCTTCCAAAACGAATAAAAATCCATGTGGCTGATCTGTTGACTTACCTTTAAGATGAGGTGATGAGAGAGCTCACAGGCTTAAGTTCCTATACTCACATAGAGCCAAACATGATTCTGGCCACCAGGGGGCACATCCAGTTCTCTGTGCAATTGAGGTTTGAGGGATGCTTCAGACAGACTGTCATGTAAGGGAAAGGCCTGACCAAAGTATCTTATCCTGTAATTTGCCATTGTGTTTGTGGCCCTGCATGAGAATATTTCATTTTTCTTCTTAATGCACCTGATTTTAAGGACTGTTTCATGAAAATACATAGTGATTTTGGTAGGGATAAAACCAACAGGATTCCCTTATCTGGTGGTACTGGAACAGGAAGCAGCTTGGTGGAGTCTTGCACATGGTTCCTTTCCAAGAGGAGGCCAGACACCAATAAACCCAAAGAAACAACCAAAATAGTGTCAGTGGTGTCTCACCTCCTTCTAGTACTAAGACCCTATTGCGAAAATAAAAAGTGGACCAAAAATCTGGGAAGAGAGCTCAGTGGTCCTTCCTCTATTTAGTATTCATAAAGTTCTACATTGAGAGAGAGAGAGGGTAGGAGAGAGGGAGAGACAGAGAGGGAGAGAAACAGAAAGGGGGAGAGAGAAAAAACAGAGAGAGAGACAGAGAAAGAGAAACAAAGAGTAGGAAGAGAGAAGAAACAGAAAGAGAAACAGAGAGCGAGTGAGCATTTCATGGCATTCACTGGGTATAAAATAGTGGCCAAGGTCCACTGAGAAGCAAAGGACACAGAGAAGTCTGTCCCATGGGACTACGAATGGCTGCATGTACAAGGTGACATTTGTACTGAGTCTCTTGAGATTAATATCCTCTTATCTGGTTATTTAAAAAATAAGATGATGGGATAAGGAGTCCCAGGGAAGCTCACAGTAGTTTCTCTTTATCCAAAGTGAATAAGGTCTGAGATCTTCAGTTAAAGCCTGCACGTGTAGACACTACCAAACCCTATACATGTATATACATATCCATGATACAGCATAGTTCATGTGTGTGCACAATAGGAAGTTAACAAAAATAATGAAAACAAATTGGAGCATTAATATACTGTGTGAAACCTTATTCTAACTTTTAATTCCAAACATGTTTCACTTACTATCTCCGACCAAGGCTGGCAGGAGGGTATGGGTAGCATAGACCACAGAAAGCAAAACCTCGGATACTGGTGTACTAATGTGGTTTATTATTTGTGACTAGAGTATGTCAGCTCATTTATCTGAAGCCTAGTAACTGGCTACTGTAATGAACTCAATGAACTATTATTCAAATTCAATTAGGAAATGAACACGAGGCGGACCTGTGGCTCTGTAGAGTGGCGTTTTCCTATCACAATCGAAGTCCTGGTGTGATCTCTTGTCAAAATGCAAAATAAATAAAACACTGCAGCATGATTTGTGTGCACATCAGTGGGACAGTGTGGGTGTTTGAATGAATCAGACAGGAAAGACTGGCCAGGGACAAAGATCTTCAAACCGACACCAAAAATGCTGCTTAGACATAGAGCAATGTAGCTTGTGCGCCAAGTAGTACTTAGAGAGTGCTCTTGAACCTGGAGCATGGAATGCTGAATCAGAATCGCATGGGATTGAGCCAAGAAACCAGCCCCATCTGAGCTCCGAGAAAACATTCCTTTAGCCTTTCAAGTTTTAAAACATTTTCAGGACTCTCAGAATTTTAGAGGATGTTTTTAAAGCAAGCAAACAAAACTGCCCAAATTCTCCCTAGGAAAAATGTGTCTTCGCAGTCATTTCTGCTAAC